TCCCTACTCCAGTTAATGCATTAAAAAAAAAAAAAAACACATCTATCCACCTTGCACATATTGATTCATTTTTGCATTTAGCTTGAAGTCTTCCCTTTTAAAATGCAGGAATTCTGTTCTTTTGTTTTATCTATTCCCTTCTATATTCCTGTTCCGATCATTTCCTCGTCTTTACTGAAAGTTTAGAGAACAATATTATATAAATATATACCGTATTTCATATTCTTATCTTATTAATTATCTGGCTTTCAACTATCTAAGTTGCCTTAGCTTTTTTTTTCCGAGGGGAAAACCAGAAAGGCATGAAGGCATGGAATATATAACTTATTAAAATATAAATGTCTCTCCTTCGGGTCCTTTATAAAAAAAAAATTAAAAAAAAAGGACAACTGAAATGGTTCCACGTTGAGGATTTTGCTGGAGGCATCCAAAAGGTCCAGAGGTACCTTCCAAAGTCTTGCTTGCTACTATTGTAGATTTATTCGCCAATGTCAAGTCATGGGTCCCGGCCTATGTCACCCGTTAAGTGGGTTTTAGTCCAAAAAGGCCGGCTCTGTGCGGGAACTTGAGGGGTGGCTGCAGGGGTTTGGGAAAAGGGGTTCGTGGAAAGAGAAGCTGGATAAGGATCATCCATTATGAAGTAGCATTCACTCGTCTGTCGAGTTCTATTACTTTCGTCTCATTCTGTACAAAATCCGAAGTATACCTGAAAGAAAGAAAAGACGGATCGTTCATTGAACCCTTTAAAGAAAACCTTTCCCTTAGACCGAGTTTTCTTTCTGCAAACGTTAGTTGCCTGGTAAGGACAAAAGTCCCAACAGACAGAGGTGTTCAGTAATGATGTATTGGTTATAGAAGTAAACAGATCTTGAGGACTTGCTTCCAGATTTAACACTGGGACCCAAGTCTATCGGGACTTTTGTCCAAACCTTGTACATCACTTTAACTACTCCTAATGCAGTTAATCTGCAAGGGACTAAAGTTTGTCCTCTCCCCGTTGCATTGAGTGCAAGCACCAGCCAAGATAAGAGCTATGTAAAAGCGCTGCGTGAATTGTCGGCGCTATATAAATGCCTGTAATAAATAAGAGATCTGCATGGAGATTATTATTATTCTCCACAGGCTTGACTACAGGTTTCAGACCATACATATGGTGTCACGTGACCTTTTGAAACGTAAGTAAACCTTTCTACATCTTCTCACATTTATGGATTCTGGAATCTGTCAATCGTAGGGCAAACCAACAGGTTTGACTGGAATTGTAGTTTACGCATGGATCTTAACTCCCCTCTGAGTGCTGATTGGCCCAGGGCTGTCACATGGCGTGAGTCCCATGCTTCTCCATACCCAGAAGTACTGGTATTTTCTCCAGCTCCCGGTACAAAATGGAGCAGTGGGAGAGCAAAAGAATGGTAAGTATATGCTGCAGGGGATTAAAGCATACCTGTTTCTCTCACCTGAAAGGGCAAAGCACATATGTTTACTTTAAGCCGGTATGACAGCCAGGAAACTAACATTTTCAGAGGAAAGTCATCAGTGGAAGGCCCATATCGCTCTTAAGAAAGGTGTACTTTAGGCAGCATTTGGTAGTGCACTTCAGTTGTGCTAAGCACAGCCAGTACCAGCGAGACTTGGAAGCTGTCAAAGCCCCCCAACACCCCTACATAAAATAAAGCTAATCCATCCAGCTCGTATAAAGCCTGAAGTTGCACCCAGCAAGTCTCACCTGTGCCGTACTGTTCCCTCTCGACTGTCATTGGACAGGGTGTACGATTTCTCCTGGGATCGGCTGATCTCCTCTATTGCTGCTTTGTGATGCTGAGAGATGATCTCTGCGCTTCTGTCCCAGGCGTCATGCGAGTCAACGGTCACTGCAGAGCTGTGCAGCTCTTCCCAGCCATGATGCTCCTCGAAGATCAGGAGATTCCTAGAACGCACTAAGAAGACAACACAGTTGTCAGTAACATGCACTAAAAGGCCCTTACAGTACGCTATGCATCAACTGTTTCATGACCAGGGCTGCAAACTCCTGAATTCCCAGACCAAAATTTAGCAGCATCAATTAACTTTACTATAAGGCCCTGTATCAACTGGCAAATGCAGCGTGCTTTTCGGAAAACTGAGGACCAACTTTGAGTGTAGGGTGTCACGGACCTTTTGACACTGCAAATTGCAATTTACGCTTAATGGCTAATACATTTTATATTAACTTTTTTAAATGTTTTAATGTGTGTATACCAGTTAAACAGCTACAGCCTGCCTGCTGCTGTCAATGTGCCCTTTCAGTAGGTGGCACAATGACAGCTGAGCTGGTGGGCTTGGTTTGTAAACAAACCCATGTGATCTCTATGACTGGCGGTCACAGTTATCTGATTATCAGGAATCAATTGCAGTGGTTGCTATTCTTTAGTGTGAGACCAGAGCTGTCAGTGACAGCACAGTATCGGAACTAGGAGCTCATTTGGGACATCATGCTAGGAAATGTTACTCTAGGGAGTGCAGGTGAGAAGGGTTAATAGGTCAGACATACCTATCGATGCTGCATATGATTCTGGTGCCGAATGTCTGCTTGGTTCCTGCACTGTCTTGGTGGCTGATGGGTAAGGGTCAAAGGTCTGTGTGAAGCTTCCAAATATGACTGCAAAGCACAAAACAACCACCTGAGGGAGCACAGGAGAAAGATTTAATGGTAATCTTAGACAATAAACCAAACTTTATACAGTTTTGGTCACAATCAACATTGTGCAGGCCCTTATCAAATCCGAAGTAACATCAGTAAAGCAGCAACTTTAAGACCTGAACCAAATTTCATAAAAGGGAAACCTGTCAATATTTCATACCAAGGTAGTGCTGGTGATTTTGAGACCTGGACCAATATCCCAGAGAGTCCATTCTATCAATCCACTAGTGACACTGTTAAAGTGCACGTCTGAGCAATACATGCACACATCCCTGTTTTTTTCTCATTTAAAGCATTGCAAGTGCAGAAAAATACTTGCTGATCTGCCATTATTCCAGAGAGCTCCCAACTTCCTATAATGAGCTGAAAACACAGTGCCTCTGCTGCAATGAAATCCCAAGCAGTATTGTCAGTTCTTCCCCATTCTGCTTTGCTGAACTACAGAACACCTCCACTTTTTCATTTCTATATTTTAAGAGAGTTGTTCTGCAGTTCAGTAGGGAAGACCTGCTCAGGGCTGACAACACTGCCAGGAATTTCCCTACAGCAGAGGCAGTGTTGTCCTCTCATTACAGGAATTTAGGAGCTCAACGGATTTCTGGCAGGTCAACAGATTATTATATTGCACTTGCAGTGTTTTTATAGAGACAAAACATTGGGAAATGTGCATTTACTGCAGATATGTACTGAATATGCTTTTTTTGACCAGACAGACACTTTAAAGGGAGTCTTAGCTTTGCACATGAAGAGCGAAGTCAGAGGGTTACGCAACTCCCCCATCACCCTCCACAACCGTATATACTAATTTTTGCTCACTCCTGCTCTTCTCTGTTCGCCAGCCAGGATTAGGGAATGCCCTGTCTAACCTTCATACTTATTTGTTGAAGCTTACAGAGGTTTAAGGACTCCTTCTCCGACCCCATGTAAGAGCTCTGGGCCAATCAGGAGGAACCTAGAGCTATCATAAGAGAGAAGAGGAGTGAATGACATGCTAGCCCTTAGGCCCCATTCACACAGGGTGTTCTGGGATTCCTGTGGAAAGCACCTACAGATTACTGCGGCAGCAATACTAGGTGCCCCATTTAAATGTGAATGCATCTACCCTTACATCCAATGGCAATCATCGCAGATGAGGCCGCTCTCACCCTGACATTTAAATCAATGGGTACAGCGGCCTTATCGGAATAGGGACATCTGGCGTTCCTGCGGCAGGAATGAGAGATGTCCCTGTTCAGATGAAGCCACTGTATCCATTGAAGTAAATAACATGGTGACAGCAGCCTCATCTGTAATGAGCGTCGTTGGATGCAAGGTAGATGCATTCCCATTTGAATGGCCTCGTTGAATGCAGGGTAGATGTGTTCACATTTGTCCCGTGTAAATGGAGCCTTACTGGGAAGTACTGGGTATTTCATGTGGGAGACGACATGGTGGGGGGTGAAGGTAAAGTTCATATGTACTTCTGTGAAGGAGTTCATTAACTCTTTTACTTTTACCTAGGTAAAGAAAAGGATCACCTAAAGTAGCCAATTTGCAACATAAAATTGATAACATTCAAACTTATCATTTTCAGCATGCTGTGTAGAATATTGATACAAAGAGGCCAAATTCGCTCTGTGCGTACAAGAGGATGACTTCACCAAGGACATGTTCTAATTAGGGCGCGACTGAGCACAATGAAACCATGACCTGGAAAGATCTGGTTTCGTTATATTTAGAAGGGTTTAGATAAATGGATAAACAGTGTAATAGACGCCACGAGGAGAAAAGGAACAACGTAAATAGATCCTTTAAACAAAGCAAAGGTTAAAACGGCTCAGCTATTCCATTCAGGCTATTCTAGGCCCTCTCGGCCAATCTGGATAAAACATGATGATGGACAATCAAAAAAAAAACCGGAGGAATGATAAGTGTGCAGCTCAACAGTAACCGACAAGATTGCACTTAAAAAAATGACGCCTGGAATCTGCTTCCTATCGCCAACGCAGACAGTTTGCCTTAATTTACAAAAACTGGCTCCTGTAATCCAAGATCTCTAAAGGATAGCTAAACCCAATAACAAAAATGATTATATTGCAGCTTAATAGTGAGGTGTTGAGGCTGCATTAGTACAAGAGAAATATGTGTTTATCTTGCCAGAATTCCAGTGTCCTTGTAACTTCCTGTGAGGTAAACTGATACATCAAACAATAGGGTCAGTTTTTCCAGCTACCTTCTGTAAACTACAAGAGAACACCTCCCTATGTAAAGGACATAAGGAGAGAAGTGAGGTGAGTAGCCTAAAAACAGAGATTGGCTCCATCCATAGATAGAGTGAGTGAGCGTGGTGAGCGTGGTCACCCTAGGACAGGAAGTGTATTCATTCCACGATTAACAATTAGAAATAGGATGGCAAAGGGCAGCACTATGAGAAGGGGAGGGGGACGGAACCTAAAAGTACCGTAAGACACTATATCTTAGCTAAGTGCAGACTTCCAAGAAGAGAACCAACTTTAAGAACAGGAAGATGAAAATTCGGAGATATCTATGACCTTAAAGTGACATTAAAGGCTAAAGTCCCCCCCCGTGCTAAAGTAAGGACTTACCTTAAACTATGCCTCTTAATCCGATCTTCTTCTTTCCTGTAGTTTTTAGCTGTCCCTCCAGCGCTGGTGCCGGTCTCCGATCCAGCGCTGACTCCTCTGTCCTCCTCTTCGCTCATGTCCCACGCAGTCTGTGCGGTTGCACGCTGCTCCATAGACTTACCTTGTGTCTCTCCTCGTCTCCCGGCCCAACATCTGAATTGCGAAAGATCCTTTGCGGCTGCCCAAGAAATTTTCAGATGTTTGGACGGGAGCGTGCGGCGGAGACATATTAACCCTTTCAAAAAGTTTAAATTTTTTGATTTTATTGTTTTGCATATATCTACTGCTTGCTAGCAGCAGATATATGCAAAAAACAAATGAGGGTTTAATAACCCTTTAATACAAATGAGTAAACTAAACATGAGATTATAGTCCATCATCGGAGCGAGCTTGGAGCTGTGCCTGCTTTATAACACACACAGGGACCATGGGGAAACAAAAGCAGCCACCCTCCAGAAGGAAGGACAGTGTCAGCACCAATTCAGAGATTATTTGAGGATCTACAGTTAAGATGTAACTCCGGCCTTTAGTGTCACTTTTAAAGACCAAAACGGAGCAAACAAGAAAAGCTCATTGTTAGGGATTACATACACTTTAAATGAATAGCTAACTTTGTAATTATCATTAAATTATATACCATTTTGTGTAGGAGTTCCATATAAATCAGTATTTTATCAATGGATGAGTTTTCATTTAAACGGAAACGAATGACATGACAAAGAGAAGAAGTTATGGAGAGGAGGCAGAGTGACTTCAGACTGGAATACATACAGTAGATGTCAGGACTGATACTCACCATAAGACAGGTGCCAGTCTGGGTGCTTGCGGCTTTGTACGAACGGTTCACTTTGCCGGCTACCATGGCCTGGAGACGCTGCAGCTGCTGCAAGAGGGTCCTGATGAAGAAAGAGGAAATAAAGGAAGATTATAAGGGAGGTCCTGTCTGAAAGTAGGCTTTATCTATTGAAAGGCCTATCTATAAAATTCTGCAATATAACAGATTTTTGTATCATGGGGCTCTTGTATTAAGCTGCTACATTTGTGCAATTCATAATTACAATGAAAATTTCATAGTTACAATTTCAGCAACAAAAGACCGGGGAAAATCTGCAACATCTGTTTACTCAAGTACAATTCACTGGATTGTTTCCACTACTGAAAGGACTGCGCAGAGTAACTTTAAATCCAGGCAAACTGTCAGACATTAATCAATGCGCTAAAAGGAAAACTGCAAAATATCATAAATGAATAAATAGAACCCTAAGGGCTTGTTCACACTGTGGCCCCTCACAGAAGCAGGAAGTTCACTCTGATCACACAAGAGAGTATCACCCAACAACACTTGAAAGAATACGTTGTCTGCTGGACAGCAAACGCTCATCCAAGAGTATGCTCATGTACATCATTCGGAGTTTCAATTGTACAAGATTTCAATGTAAGTATTAGAATTACATGTCAATTTTCATGTCATTGGCGTCTGTTTTCAGATTAAGGCAGAAACCTCAAACTTATTTCTTATTTTCCTTTGTTCAACAAAGAACACAAATTAAGAAGTGGAAACAATAAGTCAGAGGAAATAAAACTTGCAGGTTTTGTCATAAGAAAGGGATGGGAAGAGTTAAAGGATTGGAAACACAGACAAAAAAAGGGGACAAGATGGTGGAGGGGGTAAGGTGAATCAGAAGAAGAGGAATAAGAATGGGGGGGCGGGGCTTGGGGTGATGCTATGATGCTGATGTAGGATATTTAAAGCGATATTAAAGTCAAAAGGTTTTCAAGTTATATTAAATGCTGATAACATCACTTACAATGGATGCTGCTTCTGGTTATTTAAAAGTTTTAGTTTTCTGCAGAATCTGCTGGTCCCCTGACCACTGGTCCAGATATCCTGTTTTAGGTTGGCTCCATTCCCTTTCAGGGTTCTATGGAGCCACCCTTGTGTGTGCTAATAAGATGTGCGTGTCTTCACAAACACGCAGGTGCAGCAAGGCAAGCCGCTACCCTCCTCCCTAAGCCTCCTTCCTCCCCTTCTCCCGCTACCCTTTTCATAGCTAGTAGATGGGCAGCTGCTGGAGGCTGCTCTGTCCCTTGTGATCTTGTACTGGAAAGGAAGTTCAGAGTAGCAGAGCTGAGAGAGTTTGAGACCAGTTGTTTGGAAACATGATGACGCTTAGTGCTTGGGCAAACATGTAAGCAAATACTCTGCTGGGCAATGTAGAATTGTTTGATCAGGATTCCTTATTGAAAACAAATTTGAGAGTTTAATACTACTTTAGAGTGGGGGGTGTTTATGGGCAGAATTTAGTCTCCGGCCATACAGGTTTTATATTCCTGGGAACACTGGTATTTAATCCAGTAAAACCAGATTCATCTGCATATTACTTCCCTATGATATAGTGCAGCAGTGAGACATTCCATGTCACGAGGTTCCTCCATATTAGAAGACCAGAGGTGGACATATGAGGGAGACTCCTGCTTCCAGAAGGCAGGTATAAACAATAATGCAGCATTAAGGTGAATAGTCAAAATGATGGGAATGTGCTGCACTAAACCAAATATGCCCTGCAGCTAATAAACTGCATCTCTCTGTTTTCTTATCAGAATGCTCTTCCAGATCCAACACAATCTGAACAAGCCCTGCAAGTCAGTTCTAAAAACGACAATACGATATCTTCATAATAGAAAAATACAGATTAGACACTAGGGGGCGCCATTACCCCATCACATGAAAACAGCTATATGCAATGAGGGAAATGTATCAAATCTGGAGCAGCTGTGCACGGCAGCCAATCAGCTTCTCTCTTCAGTTTGTTCAGTTAAGATTTGAAAATGAGAGGAACTGATTGGTTGCCATGCACAGCTTAACTATGAATGCATTACTACTAAAAAAGAAGCAAACATGCACCATGCTACTAGTTGTAGCACCAGATTAGAAATCCGCTTACGGCATTTCACAAGCAGTGCACAGACCATGGTGGGAATGCAGCAATGGCGACACAGAAGTCTACCCTCAGGATCATTATTACAGAAAATAAAGCGTTATCTTACCTGTTAGCAGTCTCTAGAACCTCCACTTTCTTCCGCAGATCGCTGTTTTCTGAAGAACAATTTTCCACCCTGTGATCAAAGCATGGAGATCAGTTAGGTCAAGCCCAGGGTAGATACGCTGCATCAGTCATCAGGTCCTAGTGGTGTGTTAAATACTCTAAAGCTAGGTGTACACTTGTTGAATTTCCGGGTTCCTGGCACAGTGGGTGCCGCCGTTGGCACCCTTCCACCCGCCATCCCTCAATCAGCTGATCAAAGGAGCCGGTTGGAATATTCTGAGCCGAATGGAGTTGGCAGCCAATTAACTGCTAGCTCCATTCGGGTATGCTGACATCAGCCGGTGGCAGCTGTTTGAATACAATGGAAACAGCAGGGGATTCGTCCATCAACACTTGTAAGCATTGATGGAGGAATCTATTCTATTGTTCTTATGCATTTTTTTGTTTCTTTTTATGAGCACCAGATACACAGTGCAAAAAACCAACATACTGGGAAAAGAAGAAATAAACATATTTAGTGAACCTGGACAATGCATTTCCCAATGCTTGTCTCTGTACAAAATGCTGCAAGCAAAGAAATATACCTGTTGATCTGCCAGAAATCAAGTGAGCTCCAAACTTCCTGTATAGGGCTAACAACGCTGCCCCTGCTGCACTGAAATCCCAAGAAGTGTTGTCAGCCCAGTTCTCCTTGCTGAACTACAGAGCCCCCCATGTTACAGAGGTGAGGAGAGTGGAGCTGTTCTGTAGTCCAGCATGGGATCAGCAGGGGTAGTGTTGCCAGCTAACTACAGGAAGTTAGGATCTTGCTGGATTTCTGGCAGGATCAACGAGTATTTTTCTGTACTTGCAGTATTTTTAAAAGAGACAAACCACGGGGAAATGTGCATGTACATTTCCAGACACACACTTTGAGAACTTGATGAACTGGATACTGAGCAGCAATTACCTCTTTTCCAAGCTGTCCATGTATTCTTTTTTCTTTCTTCGGCTTTCCTGGGCTGAGATCTATAGAGAAGATCAAATATGAGCATGTTGGGACTATTCAACTGGCAGTAATATTAGATGCAGACTCGGACTTCCATTGACTACAAAACGACTTCCTTGCATTCATCTTTCACAACATCTGTAATAAACCTTAAGGCTTGGGGAAGGTGAAATGAGGGTGCTTTGGCTCCTCCGGTGATCTTTAAAGGTGCATGGTATTTAAAGTTTGATATATTGCAGCTTACCAGTCCTTAGATCTGGTGGTCGCATTAGCTTTCCTTTTTCAGTCTTTCTCCTCTTTATTTTAATTGATGATCCTGCCAGTAACACACTTCCTGTCCTAGAATGGTAACACTCTCTTGCTGTACCATTTCTATGAAGAAAACAATGGCTGTCACCCAGACTGGACTTCAAACATGTCTTCCTCCCCTCATCATCATCATCACATATGGGGGACTGGGGAATTAGTAGTTTTAAGAGAGAATATATCACTGTTTTTTCTTTTAGGTAATCTCCCAGGAAGTGGGAAGGACACGGCATTTCTGGCCGAATCAACAGATATTTTTCTGTACTTGCTGAAAATGTTCTTGCCTGAAGAAAGAAAACTCATGCAGCCACCACACCTAATGACCGGTAAGCTGCAACGTATTATATTTTTGTTCTTGGGATTGGATATCATTTCACAAGGTCTCCTAAGGGTTACGGAAGCTTCTTTTAAATATCCTGGACCTGTTCTTGTGTCAAACAACTGCCCCTCGTTACCCTCATTATTGCACTTTTTTTCATAGAAAGTACAACACAGTGAAAAAAGGTAAAAAGAAATTGTAAGGCGACAGTATATGAATAACACATAACACCCCCCCTTCCCAAAAAACCCCAATATAAAATAAACTAACCATCCTAAATAGAAACTCCCAAAAAAATACACCCTCTACATAAATATTACCCCCAAGCAGCTATATAAGCAAAATTGAGAATGCAATGCTACAGTAATGTACCAGTGTGCTGGAAAGTTTCTATTGCACACATGGCATGTGACATGCAGAGGCAATCGGCTTAGGTGATCACGGTTCAATGACTATGGAAAGCCAGGCCATAGGAAATCACTGCTTGGGCCCGGCTCCTCCAGGGCAACAAGCAACATTCACTCATTTCACGGAAGCGCAGTACTTCAAGAGCCTGTACAAGCCTGAGAAAATACATTTGCTAATAAATACGATTTAAGAAGTTTGTAACTTCGCTGACCTTGTTTTTAATCTTCCGGCGGATTTTTTTCAGAGCCTTTTCTTCAGCCTTAGTGAGGGGTAGTTTGGTGGGGATGGGGTATCCCTCCGCTATAAGGGTCCTCTTCTCTTCCTCGGTCAGAATTAGGGGCCCTGTTCCTTGAAGCTTCTGCAGAGAAGAAGATTAAAATTAATTAGAGAGAAGTATAAAGTTATTCCAGAATTCTGTGCGGCTGTAGATAAATTCTATTGCAATGAATGGGGTTTGCTAGATTTGCCCTTATGTAATCACACATCTATGACTCGGAGAGCAAGGGAGCTAGCATTTCCTGAAGGAAATGGCAAACTCCCTACAGCCCCCAGTACAGGATGTATTCAAATCCCTCATAAATGCACCTCCGTGGCTGGAGTCTCAGAATGCTTTAAAACCACAAATATAGTTTTAAACCTTTTTATATTCCAGTCCTGTGTTATGATTTTTTACTAATTAAAAGGAGAACTATGGGGTTAAGGCTTTTCCCCATTAGTTCTCCTTAGGGTAACGGGAGGACACAAACTAGCGTCCTCCCGTCAGCCTAGGCTCAGTATACCGCGAGCTGTAGCTCGCAGTATACTGAGACGCCGCAGTATACAGCGAGCTGCTGCTCGCGGTATACTAAGACGCCGCAGCTGAAGCGGATCCCAACAATTGTGCCGGGATCCGCCCTGCTGCGTGAATGACAGCTGGCTCTGCCTATCTAGAGGCAGAGCCAGCTGTACCCGCCCCCGTCCGTTCCGCCAGTCAGCGCTGGAGGATCGGAGCGGGGAGAGGGGAATCCAGCCCCTCCCCTGTCACGGCAGAGAGCCGTGACAGGATCGAGAGGTGAGCGAACGCCGGTATGTGTTCGCTCACCTCCCGATCTACTGAGCCGACCTGTGACAGTCTCATTGTCACAGGTCGGCTAGAACTATGAGGTGAGTGAAAAGCACTCACCTCATAGTTCTCCTTTAATAATGCCATAAAATACTGTTTTCACTTAATGGAACTGCACTCCCTGCTCTCCTACTTCAGTGCTCTGTGTTGGCATAGCTGAGTAACGGACAGCCCCTGATCACAAGTGTGCTCACTTGTATTGTAGAAAAGGGGATCCACGCCAGCAGGGAGCTTACAATCTAAGGTCCCTATCTCACATGCATACATTCGGGGGCCAATTTAGAGAGGAGCCAATTTTACCTTCCAGCATGTCTTTGGAGTGTGGGAGGAAACCGGAGTACCCAGAGGAAACCCAGGGAAGCACGGGGAGAACATGCAAACTCCTTGCAGATAGTGACCTGACCAGGATTCGAACCGGGGGACAGGGCCGAGGGCAGTGCAAGGCAGTGGCTCTATGCCACTGTGCTGTTGGTACAATGTCTGTCTGTTGAGGTTATTACAATGTCTGTCCTTTTCACCATTTATTTGGCGATCTTATTTAGTATTTAAGTTTTTTTTTTTTCTACTTGAAATGCTTTGGTACAAGTAGAAGTCCATTTCTTCATCCCCCTTGAGAGGCGGAGGGATGGCAAAGCAATGCTTTTGCAACAGTGATTTATCAGATAATCACCATGAAATGACAGTGATCACCAGCTGGGAGCAGATGGTTTTGGCCAATCCTACTGTCAGGGCTGTTAGTAACAGTCTTGTCATGTACATGCTGCATACCATGTGCCCTCTTCAGCACGTCCTCCCACAGGCAGTCATGCATGCATTAGAAAACTCATAAAATGGGCAGTATACTGTAGGTGTATGCCCCAGCATGGGTATGCAGTACAAATGTGGGCATGGAGCTATACATCTTTGGTTATTAAAGGGTTAAGTAAGGCAATTTATGAAATGTACACGGAGACTCAAGGAGGCAGGCTGTGCTAGGACTTGTAGTTCCCCCACAGCCGCATAGAGTCATGTTTGTCTGTGTCTGGTTTATGATGGCTGAAACTCTGCAGAGGAAAATGCGAACATGCTCAGCCGCTCATGTAAGTGTGAGTCACTGATGAATAGGACAATTGTGTTCTCAGAGGCAGTATGGGAAAGAATACGCTGCACATTGAGTCATCAAATGACCAATTGCTGCTTACTGCTGGTTTTCCACTGCATGATCTTTTCCAGAGCTCCTTAGAACATGCTCTAGCTTTGACTGAAATCCCCATCCAGGGCATTCTCTCTCACCTGCAACCAGATAATAGTAGATTTGTCCAAGCTACTAATTGTCTGCATCATGCTAACGTACTCCATGGTACGTAAGAGAATGACAAAGAAGTATACGCAACGCGGGAGCTCACAATTTACTAAGCGCGGCGAACATTCACTTTGCTAAGTGAAGAGCCTGTGTCCTTTTAGTAAAAGAAAAGCTACACAATTTATCATTAAATTGTCAGTCCAGTGGCCTAGGCTGAGATGATGCTATCAGTCTGCTGCAGGCAGGAAGAAGCATTTCCTCCGTCTCCTCTCCCCAGTGATCAGTCTGCTGCAGGTAGGAAGAAGCATTTCCTCCGTCTCCTCTCCCAGTGATCAGTCTGCGGCAGGCAGGAAGCATTTCCTCCGTCTCCTCTCCCCAGTGATCAGTCTGCTGCAGGCAGGAAGAAGCATTTCCTCCATCTCTTGTCCCCCAGTGATCAGTCTGCTGCAGGTAGGAAGAAGCATTTCCTCCATCTCTTCTCCCCAGTGATCAGTCTGCTGCGGGCAGGAAGCATTTCCTCCGTCTCCTCTCCCCAGTGATCAGTCTGCTGCAGGCAGGAAGCATTTCCTCCGTCTCCTCTCCCCAGTGATCAGTCTGCTGCAGGCAGGAAGAAGCATTTCCTCCGTCTCCTCTCCCCAGTGATCAGTCTGCTGCAGGCAGGAAGAAGCATTTCCTCCGCCTCTTGTCCCCCAGTGATCAGATTGCAACACTAACTTTGAAGTCACAAGGTGGGAGGCTGACCCACTCAAATCTATGAGAGTATCAACATTGGGATTTATGTAAAAAGGACTAAACTCTTAAGCAATCCTAAAGATTAAAAAATGTATTAAACCCTGAAGTGGGGTTACCCTGCACTGCAAGGGTTAAGTGATTGTTTTTGCCTAGGGTACAAAATATAAAAACTATTCTCACCCAATCCTCTGAGCTGGCAGACTCTTAGATAGGTCCCTGGAGCCTCTCCCCCTCCTCTGCAGCGGTCTAAGGTCCCTAAGTCATCATGTTCTATACACAGTGTATAGGACATGAGGACACAGAGGAACATACTATCACTGGAAGGGAGGAGGAGGCAGACAGTAGGGAGCGCTGTAACAGACGGCCACGTCCAAGGTTCCGGTGAGTACAACTTTGTTATTTTTGACCCTAGGCAAAAACAAGCACTTAATCTTTGCAGTGCAGGGTAGCCCCACTGCAAGGGTTAACAAAATGTTTACCCAGAGTTCTTTATTTAACTTCTTATTTTACATCAGCCCCCCTCCTTCAAGGGACAGACCAATACAAACTGCTGAAGACCCTTCATGTGTGCGCACCATACAATGCAAAGAAAGGAAAGGGGAAAGCACTTACATGTGGAGCCGTCAGAAGGGGGGAATTGGAGAGTGCCGAGGGGCTGCGAGCAGTCACTTTGCTCCCGGACTGTGATTGGACAGGACTGGAAGGTGGGAGGGACCGGCTGGGGCTCTGGCCTCCTTCGGAATCACTCCCATGGCTGCTGGGAGGAGTAGGGGGCAGCTGCAACGTGTCTGATGAGGACGCTAAAACAGAGAGCAAACAAAATGTTACAATGGCAACAGTAATTGAAGAGTGGCTCCAATTTAATGACAGCTAGCTCTATATACGGGAGGCTTAAAAGGAGAACTATGGGGTCAGTGTTTTTCCCCATAGTTCTCCTTAGGGTAACGGGAGGACACAAACTAGCGTCCTCCCGTTACCCTAAGCTCAGTATACCGCGAGCTACAGCTCGCGGTATACTGAGACGCCGCACCTGGAGCGGATCCCGACTTAGATGACGGGATCAGCCCGGCTGCGTGAGTGACAGCTGGCTCTGCCTGTCTAGAGGCAGAGCCAGCTGTACCCGCCCCCTCCCCCGTCCGTTCCGCCAGTCAGCGCTGGCAGATCGGAGCGGGGAGAGGGGAATTCAGCCCCTCCCCCTGTCACGGCAGAGAGCCGTGACAGGATCGAGAGGTGAGGGAACCCGGTATGTTTTCCCTCACCTCCCGATCTACTGAGCCGACCTGTGACAGTTTCATTGCTACAGGTCGGCTTAGAACTATGAGGTGAGTGGAAATCACTCATCTCATAGTTCTCCTTTAACTAAGAAACATTTCCTAAAGTCACACTTGTCCTTGCAGAGAGAGAGAAAGAGAAGAAAAAACCCTATTTTGGGAAATTTGCTGCGTAGGAATACATTAGCTCTAATAATGGGTGTCACATGGGTGGCTGGCTGCAGCGTTGGGGAAAACTCATACTTTCATTTATCTCCGCAGCTACTGTAAGCAACAAAGCTCCGGTCCTGTAAATCACAATTCCCGTCAAGAGCGTCGTTTGCTCTCCTCCTTCCTCCATTCATAAAACGCCTTGTATTCTTTTTACAGGATACAAGATGTTATGTAACTGGGCAAGAGGAGGTCCTCTTACAGTAGTTGTGGGGATGTATTAAAGTACAGGTTTTACCCAACGGTGCAGCCAGCCACCTATGTGAAAGTCATTCATTGAGCAGAGTAAATGTCCGCAAATAGTTGTTTTCTTGGAGTTCCGCTTTAAACAGTCAACTGCAAGGGATACCGGTTTAGTTGCTAAACAGGAGTTTCAGAGCCTATAAAAAAGGTAACAATAGCCTTAGTGCTCAAATGTAAATTTTAGTTCTAACCTACAATCTGTTGCTGTAGTCACTATAGTCTGTTTCTGGTATAAGTGCCTGTTATAAGTTTAGGGGACACTCACGCTCTTTGGGGCAGAGGTTGAGGAATTGGTCCACTTCGTGTGGCTCCAGCTTGATTTGTGGCAGAGGTTTGGGGCTCAGAGGCTTCATCTGCAAGGAAACAACAGAACTTGTCACCACTTCCAGGAACCTTTGCAGGAGAGACATTCATTCCATAAGCTGATCTTGTCCTCGTTACATCTTTATCCATCAAAACCCCAGTTATTAAAAGACTATATTAGTAGCATCATACTCTGACCATTCAGGTATAGTTATACTCCTATAGGCTCATTCAACAAGTCACTGGCAAGACCAATATTAGTGTGTAATACTCAGTAGACCACCCGATCAGGCTTCAGTGAAATAATAGAGAATCACTGATTGGTTAAAAGCAACAAATCCATTTTAACATTTATCCTGGAAAACCTCCCCCATGGATCTGACACACCACTGACCACACATACACAACCAAACTCTTACCTGGTCTACCTCCGGCAGTTGTGGCAATACATCCACTTCAAGAGGCAATGTCACTGCGCTGGTCGTCAAGCTGACCGAAGGGGCAAGACCTGGGCTCTCCTGCACAGGAACCTCCATCTTTATTTTGGAGGAAGTGAGCTGTCCTCCGAGACACCAGTCCTCACCAGTAAGATCACCTGTACAGACCAAAGTGCAGGGTTACTTGTAGTAGTAGTAGTACCAAGAAAAGGAGCAAATGCTGTGCTCACTAGGATGATAAAACAGAAGACACAAATGTGAATACCAATCATCTAGGACAAAAGGAGACACTGGAATGGTGGTTGGATGATGAACTTCTGTTCACACTGCTGTGTGTTTCCATGAGTTCATTTAAAAAGACCATTCAGTATGTATTTTGGTCAATGAAGAAGGTCCCAATCATGCCCCAGCCTAGGAACACACTTTAGGGCTTATTCAGACCTATGTGTTGCGGTATTGGCGTATGGTACCACAGTGCATATAAACGCATTTCGAATGGCACCCCCAACACTCCAAGTCAATGCACCCCCTCAACGTACCCATGTACATACCGATTTTTAGACAAAGTGGTGCTTGTCCGATTTTAGCTGTGTTGTGGTGCATCGGCAGCCTATTTAAATGAATGCATTGCCTTAACACGCCTGGTCATTGCTGAACTGCGACGCAGAGGATAGAATTGTTCACTCATCAAAACAAGTATTTTACCACAATGCATGGTAACACAATGTAGATGTTGCAAAGTTAAATGCATCCCAATGCACATCTATAGTGTCCTGCATTAAAGTGCACCGCAACGCACAGATCCATACGCTTTAAAAAACGATGCAGGACCTATTTTTACATTTGTTGTGCTGTGCTTACAGCACATTTTACAAGGAGTTCAATGCACAACAGTGTCAACAAGTCTACGGCAAACGATCGCCTTTTGTGATTTTCAGCGGCAGACAACTTTGGTCAACTTATGGGTTAAAAGGCTTGCAAGTACATATGCAACGCTGAGTATTTTATTCCTAAACAATGACGTCACACCCCCCCTAAGCAATGCATAGTAAGCAGATGATGGTGCAATATTAATAAATTAGAGCCTGCCCATTCGCTTTCACTTCCCAGCATAGCAGAATGACAAAGAGCTGCAACCTGCTCAGGCAACTGAACTGTCAGCCTGCAGGGAAAGTGACGTCAGTGGAGAAATCCAACACCTTATGGCTTCCAGGTCCGTTCTGTTTATAAAAGGTAGACTTTAACCCCAGCGTAGACCTCGGCTGCTTACACTGCATAGTAATAATATTGACAACAGCAATGCAATCAGTTTGAAAATCACTACATTTAGTAATAGTGACTTGATTCTTTCCTTTAGGTTTTATGCACTTTCTTTCATATGTTTCCCCTGTGGATGAGAAACCTGCACTGCCATTTAAATGTCAAAAATCGGCAGCCGGCTTCTTCCTTATTCTGTCCCGGCCCACTGATGATGATTGTGCATGCACTGTACCAGACCTGGCAGGGTTGGTTATTGTTTAATTGAAGAATAACCACCAATGCAGGGTCCCTTAGGGTCGATGCACACCACATGCTTTGGTGCAGCGCTGGCTTCCAGCGCAGCCACAATGCAAGACAAGGCAATTTGCCTGGTCACGGACGGGCTTGGTTCACACCACCGCGCTGTGATGGGAATGCAGTGGTGTGCGCTGAATAAAAAAGTACGGCATGTTGTACCTTTTTTTCAGTGCAGCTGGATGCAAGGTAGAACAACCGCCCTGCACCCCACTGTGCCCATAGAACTGAATGAAATGTCACTTGTGACATTTCAATAAAGTTCTACCAAAATATATTTTTTTTAAAGTACACCATGCGATGTGCCTGTTATCAGCACATCAGCACTATGTCAGGCAACGCTGTGACTTGACTTGGCTGACCTCACACACATCCTGTAAGGGCTGAGATCTCCCTGGAAGGCACTAGTAAAGTTGCCTTTACAGGGACAGCTGTCATGCCCTGGCTACGTCAGCAGTGCCTATTCAAAACCAGGAAGTGCTGGGAAATAAACATGCAAGTTTGCAAAAAAAACCTTCGCTGGAGAAATGGAACAATGTATTGGGATGTGCATGCAAAGATGTAAGAAGCATGGAATTTTGTGAGCAATGTTCAGAAAGATCAGGTCCCCTTCCCTGCCGGACAGGACTGTGCTGTGTGGTAGAGCTGTGTAAATCTCAGGAGTGGATGAACAGAAATACAAATCCTTTGGTGGATAAAATAGCTACATATAATATATATGTATATACTCTGTGTATTCAGCCATTTTCCTGGAGTATGACTTTAAAGTGCAAGTAAACCGCCAAACCAAAAATGAAATTATGGACCCCCAGAAGGTGTTTGCCACAATGTTCTAGTATGCACAGCATATTAGCACATTATAGCGGACTTACCTTGCCGGTGAACCCCTCCAGCGCTGCGATTCTCCCGGGTTCAGCGTCTTTGGCCTTTTGACTGGCCAGGATGATGTAACGTACATGTATGCACATGGAAGTTACTTCATCTCAGCACAGGACCTTGCGGAGATGCACATACACACTCAGTGTACACAAACTCTGACAGGCAGGGAGGAACAATGATGACAGATGAGTCTCTTCTGTCATAAAAACGCCACCTGTCAGCACTTTTATAGACTCCACTTTAATATTTTTTCTGACAATCAAGCTCATGATAAAAACAAAAATTGAGAATAAGAGCTGCTGAAATGTTTACTGTGCTTTGCTCATTGCTTCTTACAATGTGACAGGTCGTTTTTTTTATTCTATGGAACTGCAGCAGCTACATCCGCCTTGCTGCACCCTGACACTCCAGGAAGTCTCTATTTTGAGCCCATCTATAGCATCACACATGTTTGCCCAGGAACAATAAAAGAGCTGTCACGCCTGCCATTTCATTCAGCTGTTTCCTTGTTTTCTGTGTGAAATACACAATGGGAAGTGAACTCGGGCCCGTTACCAGTTATAAAAGTCTATAACCTTTTATAGGGCATATGTTGCTATAAGCAGCACATAACATATAGATAGCAGATAGCCAACTGCCATGAATACCCAGAATCAGGTCATTCCTTATGTTCTGCACTGACCAAATGTGAGATAATATAAACTGGCACAGCAATATTTTTCCTACACAAATGTAGTTAAAAATAAAATTAATTCATCAGCATGTCGATATTTACAGAAAAACATATTTTTCTATCAGTCTTGATCAGATGTCTAAATCGACAAGTTAAAAGAGAAGCAAGGACAAACCTTTTTTTGTGCTTTACATCCCTTTTGGGTCACAGGAGAACATTTACTAATTCAGCATCTAGCGGGCTTCTGTCTGCTATATGCTGACAGCGCAGAGCCGGGCTGCAGCCGGTAAAGATCCCAACAATATTGTCGGGATTCACCTGACTGTCTGATTGACAGCTGGCTTTGCCTCTCTAGAGCCAGAGCCAGCTGTGCCCGCCCCCTCCCCTGTCCATCCCTCCAATGAGCTCTGGAGGAACGGAGAAGAGAGGGGAAAATCCCTGCAGGGAGCAGTGGCTGACAGCAGGGAGAAGACCATGAGCTGAGTTATCAGCGGTTTGTGATCGCTCAGCTCTCGGACTATAGAGCCGGCGTGTGACAGCTGCAGTGTCCCTCACTGGCTCTAAGTATGCCCTTCATTTCCATGCTGTTATTTCCCTTCATTTCCTGGTGTGCAGACACTGAAATCCAAGCCATCACTGTCAGCCCTGCCTGCTGGACCATAGAAGTCCTCTTATCCCCAAGCCTCTCTCTGCCCATCTCCACATGCACACATTCATTTCTTCAGCGAAACAATGTTGCTGCCTTGACTCTTAAGAACCTGCCCACACACTATATGTAAGGAAAGGAGTCTTGGGAGATGTAGCTCTGTGGGTATGTCAGTGTCTTGCTACAGGAACAAGGTCAAATAAAAAAATATGAATGCAGAGACATGATCTAGAGGAGCGGGAGCTTTGGGGGTTAATTGGGTGATGCCCGGACATAGAACTCAACCTCCCCCTCCCCGTGGCTTAGTGTTCCCTGATCTTACCATCACTAAAGTTGTCATCAGAGGAGCCATGGGTGAATGGAGACTGAGGGCGTGAATCTCCGCACAGTGAGTAACTATGTTCTGCTTTGATCATGGGAGAAGGCGAGTTTGGGTTGTCCACTTCCATCATTTCATATTTATCAGTCAGGAACGGGTCACCAATCAGCTGTCCCAGCGCATCCAGGAGGGCCGTGTCATCCAGGAGCTCCGAGAAAGGCTACAAAAGAAAAAACAAAAGGTTCTGCAGTTAGTAACAGAGCATCGGGGGAACAAGACAATACTACTAAGTCTTACACAGCTCATGAGAGCGGCTCTCAACTGACTGGCCATACAGCATGAAACAACTCTTCCATTAACATGAACACGTTTCTCTATTGTACACACAAGGAATGGTACCAGATAGCAAGACAATGAGTCCAGGTAGAGAGACACAGATATTGAGCTCAATTGCTTTCTTTCTCTAAGATTATAAAAAGAGACCCATGACAAACTAGGAAAAATGTTTTGGTGACTTTGGCTTGGTGCCACGATTGCTGTATGTCACACAATTTTACTTAGACAATCAACTCCAACTCTATACATATCAAGTGGCAAAAAAAAATAATAATGTGCATCGAAACCCAAAAATGTAATATGTTGCAGCTTACCAATCTCTAGATGTGGTGGCTGCATTAGTTTTCTTTTTTTAGGCTTTTTTTTTTCTTTCAGGCAGTAAGTCCTTTAACAGAATAACTGGCCAGCAAAAGTGGCAGAGAGAGGGTTAAGATAAACCCTTTAACACTGACACGGCGGCGTACAATGGTTAGCGTTTATTCTTTTTCTGTAAAACCTTTTTCCCCAAAAGAAATAAAAAAACAAACTGTTGCTGTAGCTGCTTAGAAAGTGTTAGCTGGAATTCAGATTTAATTTGTCCATCTAAATCTGCTAAAGCATCTACCACACCACTCCCCACAGGGCGACAATGCTGCTGTCCAAGGGTGGCTCCATAGATCCTCCATAGAGTGGAGCCACCCTAAAGGTGCCCATACACCTGCCGATTATCGTACGATAAACACGGGTGATCCCACGATCGTACGATAATCGGCAGGTGTATGGAAGGCGTGCGACCGTTTCTACTGTACGGTCGCACGTCTTTTGTCTTCCGAGCGCGCTCGAAAGCCTGTGCAAGCGCACACTGCCCGCTCAGCATTGGAATCATCGAAAGCCCTCATGTGCAATGGTTGTAGGGTGTATGGCCAGCTTAAGACAGGAAGTGTGTTACTGGGGCAGATCACCAGGGGAAAATAAAGGAACAGAAATATAAAAAGAAAAGAAGTAGTGGTATTTATATAGTGCTGACAACGCATGCAGCGCTTTACACAGGGCACATTCACATCAGTCCCTGCCCTCGCATGCATGCACACAGACACATACCAGGGCTGATTTACCTATTTTGACCTACCAGAATGTCTTTTGGAGTGTGGGAAAAAACCCCAGAGGAAACCCACGCCACCACAAGGAGAGCATGCAAACTCCAAGCAGATCGCGTCCTAACCAGCATTGAAATCAGGGACCCCCAGTGCTGCAAGGCAGAAGTGCTAACCACTAAGCCACCATGCATGAGCCTTCAACTTCACCGGGGGCTGATTTACAACACTCAGAACCAAAATACCACAGCTGTACAGAGTAACCAATCTGGTCTCATCTTTCAGGTGTAGCAAAGTATCCGTTGGGCTGCTATGAACAACTAGTGTAGTATTTGTTAATCAGCCCCTCAATTTCTTTTCACAGGACTCATAAGGCATCATCATCAGCAATTGTTAAGCCTGGACAGTAAGCACAGTAGAGTTGGTCTTGCAGACATTCATGTAAATAACGAATAAAGCCTCCAGGTCAGAGTGACCTGGACAAACAACATGTCTGCCCACAGATGGTGAGAAGAACCAACATGGGGAGCAGTTTATGGTGTGTGTAGAAAGGGAAGGGAGGTCTTTTATAAACAGACAACCAGAGAGAGTCCAGACCTCCTGCTAGGACCACAGCAAACTTCTCTGTGACTGAAACACAATGTACACAACATCATCTCCAGCTGAGTACCATTATAAACCATTATGGCGGCACTCTGATCAAACCGTAACAAACATCTGGGCTTAAAGTGCATCTAAACCCAACAAAAATGTCATCTATTGCAGCTTACAAGTCTTCACATGTGATGGCCGCATTCGTTTTTCTTCATTTTTGGCCTTTATTTTCACCTGGTGATCTTATGGAGGGACAGTGTTGTCACAGGTAGTGTGTTGGACTACCGAGCAACCCCAAACCCCTGTCCTGCTCTCCTCCATAACCCCCATACCTCTCTCCTCCATAACCCCCATACCTCTCTCCTCCATAACCCCCATACCTCTCTCCTCCATAACCCCCATACCTCTCCTCTACAACCTCCATACCTCTCCTCTACAACCTCCAGAATGTTAAATACTTTACTCAGCATGTCCTCTGAGTCAAAGTTCTGCTGATAATAAGCACATGTTGCTAGATTTCATACCGGAAAGCTTTTAGGTGGGATAAAATATATTTCGAGGGTGGCATCAGAATGTGGATGTGGTTCTTGAACATCTAATTTTATCCTTCTACTCGCAATCTGGGCAGATGCCTTGGACCAGCAATATCTGTTGACTTGGCAATCACCATGGAGAGACGAGTTGAATGTCAAAGAAGGAGAAGAAACTTGGGCAACCAGATCTACGGGTGTATGGGAGGCTATGGTGTCCCTATACAAGTCATTATTGTGTGTGGAGGACATGCAATGCGTGTGGACTGAACTCAGATTGACCCACCGCCCAGCAGCAAGAAATGTCTGAACACAAATGCAGCAACGGAATCCACAGAATTCCGCACAAACCCCCTCCACGTCTGCCTCTGGGGTGCGAACAAACCATAACTCTTACAGTTACTGAATGTGTCAATTCATAACCTGGCTACTTCCAGAAACTTCATCTGAAGGTACTTTGAGATGAAGACACTTGGCAACCTTTAGGACCTCAACAAGACCAGGGACAGGGAATAAAGGGGTGAGGTTGTCACCGGGGCAGGAAGGCACAAATGATCATGAAAACTTGATGAACACGTAAGCACCGCAGCACAACTGATTGGTTCATTGTGCCGCTAATTCCCCTCCCCAAATCAGTCAGATTCAGGTATATACACTGTCTGCATTTAGAATTACATTAAATGATGTATGAATGAATTAAAAGCTGCATTAATCTGCATCTTTTATATCTGCCCGGAGTTCAGCTTTAAATCAGAACAGCTTAGTTTTTGGGTAGACAATTCTTTTCTGCTACAGTAAGATAGGATTATCTAGAAGATCATTTTTGCATATAGAGGCCGGTGTTCCTTTAAAGCCGGCATATCTTCCTCCAATGCTAGTAGGTAGCAGACAAGGAAATATTTGACAAGATCTTGTGATTACGGTTTAACATGGAGCCCGTTAACCCCTTCGGAGCCACATACAGCAACTTTGCTTTGTGATGGTCATGAGGACTTTCTGGCAGTGCAGGGGTTAAAGGGGTGGCTTTTTAAAGCTGTAACTGTAAAAGAAAAAAAAAAAAAAAGTCAATCCAGACGGTTACGTAGGGGAGCCACAAACCTAGACAAACACCCCGAGTCTGCAACCTGATCCTTTTTCCATGAGTCACCCGCACAGTTTAGGAGCCAAAATACAGAAAGCAAGAGGTGGGAAAGCCGGTCTTAAAGGGGGCTTATCATCCTGGAAACAGCTGGGGCTGAGATATCCCCTCTTAATCGGTTGGGGGGTGGGCCTCATCATTAAATGACGTATAAATAGTTTCCTTATGGGTTTATATCACTGCCTGCCAACTTGACGGCCAACCTTTTAGGCTGCCCACAGACATGACATGGCAGCGATCATTCTTTATCATGCACCGCGCAGATATCCCCAGCGCCGGTCTTATCTAAGGAGGAAAACAGCCAGGGGCCGGCAACACCAAACCCAGCCGATGACTGCTGCACATACATATACAACCAGATTGCTGTCAGAATCATCCATACCGCTGTATGGGCCTAGATATCAACTGCCCCTCTTTCAGAATGACTGTCCTCCTATAGCATGGGTGGGCAAACTCCAGCTGTGGTGACACTACAACCCCCATCATGCATCTGTCTCTGAGAGTCATGTCTGTGGCTGTGAGAATCTTGCAATGCCTCATGGGACTTGGCCAGCGATTACCCACTTCTGTTCTATAGAACCCAATTCCTCTGTCCCTCTTTCCAAATCACATAGGTTGCACTGGATGGACTGTGTCTTTTTCCAAAATGATTTACTATGTAACTATATGAAACCCTGTCCTTTCAGCTCTGTTCTAGAGATCCATATAAATATACTATTTGAGGCTAGGTTCACACCTGCACTACACCCGGGACAGCACGATCGTGTGCTAGTGCACACAGCGATTGCCGCGCGGCACCATTGATTTCAATGGGGTGACATCCGCACGGCAATGGCAAAAAAAAAAAAAAAGGTACAAGTACATTTTTTTGCAACACAACTCGCAGCTTTTATTAGCCGCAATCATGTTCACTTGCACGGGCGGAACCGCAGCGGGAAACCGCACAATCCGCTTGGCGCGACTGGGGTGCCATTCGAAAATAATGGCACCCACATCGCGATTGGTTCACACCTTGGCGACTCCTGACCGTGCGGTAATCGTGCACAAAACCGACCAAGCGGTCAGGAGTTGCCAAGGTGTGAACCTAGCCTCAGGCAGCTCTGTATTCTATA